TTACCTAGCAGTAAAATAGGTACCTGGGTGTTAGTCAGCTGTCACGGGCTGCTTCCTGGGGGTGGAGGCCTGGTCGATGACCGGACCGCGGGGACACTAAAAAAAAAAGCCCCGAAATCATCTCAAGATAATCTCAAGATGTTCACTCTTGCATCTTCTCTTCTGATTGAAGAATCTTTCTGCCCTTCATCCTATACTACTGTACTGGTGTTCGCACTCCAGTTCCAATCCTCACAACTTGCATTTGTTGACCAGACCACACACTAGAAGGTGAAGGGACGACGACGTTTCGACACAATCGACTTGAGAATGGTCCAGGACGAACTGAAACGTCGTCGTCCCTTCACCTTCTAGTGTGTGGTCTGGTCAACATACTTCAACCACGTTATTGTGACTCATCGTTTGCAACTTGCATTTGACTAGGATAAAATCTAGCAGCCATTTTTCAGACTAATTATAGGGTATGTCCAAATCAGTTTGCAGTGGATCACAATCAGTTCCTGTCCAGACTCTGTTCACCAGCCTTGCATCATCTACAAACATTGATATGAAGGATCCAATTTCCTCTGTTAGTTCATTGACGTATATTAGAAACAGGATGGGTCCCTAGAGCCAACCCTTGTGGAACTCCACTCTGATTTCTCTGCCCTCACAGTAATTTTCCATAGAACGCTTCCCGGTAACACCAGCCTGCCTCTCTAGTTTGAGTTGGTGTCTTTCGGGCGGGACCTTATCTAATGCCTTCTGACAGTCGAGGAATATGCAGTCTGCAAATCCTTCTCTCAATTGTGTGATTTCCGTCATCTTGTTGTAGCACTCCAGCAAGTTTGTGAAGCAAGATTTTTCCTTTACTAAAACCGTACTGGTGTCTTGAGACAAAATTGATCTGTTCTAAATGTTCTACTAAACTGCTTCGGATCAGTCTCTCTAGTAACTTGCAGGGGGGGATACTTGTTATTGATACGGGTCTGTAGTTGAACAGTTTCTGTCTTTCCCCCTTTCTTAAAGATTTTTATCACATGAGCCTTTTTCAGTAGTCAGGAAGTTCTCCCGTTTCTTGAGAGGAATTAAATACAGTATTATGACAAGTATGTATCAGTATGCAGGCGTGTCTCTTTGTGTGCATGCATACATGTGTATGTATATTTATGCGTTAATTGTGTGCTCACATTTTTTATCTCCAACGTCCACGTGCCTGCACGACCGGGCGCCTGCTCTTGCTCCCCACCTTCTTGGCTGTCGATCATCTAATCCAATGGACTTACTACATGTTAGACTACATATTCATCTCTATATATATATATTTACGGTATTATCCTCAAATACCTCATCTTGTAACTCATTCTATTTACTCACTTCTCACAGGTTAAATGTTTCATATCATTCATACTAATCATCCGCGTCTCGATCTAGCATTCGTTCATTGCATCACTACTCATATAACCTACAAAACATTTAATCTATATCTACTTTGTCAATGTCTCATAGGATCTTATACATTGCAATCATATCTCCTGTATCCCCGCAACCTGTCCTTTTACTGAGCATTTTGTTTATGCTCTCGACCCCTAACGTACAAATTGCGGTGGTTTGAAGAAACTAAAATCACCGGATTATTGACGTTTCCTGGGACTGCCGAGCCTCGGCTCCGGTGGGTTAGGTGGGTTGCTAGGGTTCCGACGCTTCAAGTTATGAAAAACCGTTGTATATTTTACGGAGTGGATCGACAGAGAGAAAGCAGCAGACATCACGATTTCGTCTTAACATTTCTTTAGACATGGGTTTCAGTATAGGCATCGAGTAAATCATCAATACTAGGATTACTGGGATTACTTTATGCTGGCATGAAGTAGTCAACAATTCTGGGATTAGTCACAATAACGTGGCTAAAGTATGTTGACCAGACACAATCGACTTGAGAATGGTCCAGGACGGACCGAAACGTCGTCGTCGTCCCTTCACCTTCTAGTGTGTGGTCTGGTCAACAATTCTGGGATTACTTGATTCTCGTATCGAGTAATAATCCCGCGGCTGTTTATTCCGCTAATGAGTGCGTCTGGAAACGGGGTGTCGTCGTAACTACCGTCGGAGTGATAGCTACTCCAGCATGACAAGACTGAGGATGACCTGATGTCCGACCACTCTGGTATAACTAAAAGTGTGTGTGTGTGTGTGTGTGTGTGTGTGTGTGTGTGTGTGTGTGTGTGTGTGTGTGTGTGTGTGTGTGTGTGTGTGTGTGTGTGTGTGTGTGTGTGTGTGTGTGTGTGTGTGTGTGTCGTCGTCTTATACCCGGCACTGTGCTCACAAGACTCGGGTTATTAACAGTCACCCGGAAATTTCTTCATAAACTACACTGAAAACTGGTATAAAACAGCGGTGGAACCAGGTATGTACCACAGCGATGGCACAAGGTGAGTACCCCAGCGGTGGAGCCAGATGTATATTACCCTGGTGGAGCCAGATGTGTACCCCAGCGGTGGAGCCAGGTGTGTATTACCCTGGTGGAGCCAGGTGTGTACCCCAGCGGTGGAGCCAGGTGTATATTACCCTGGTGGAGCCAGGTGTGTACCCCAGCGGTGGAGCCAGGTGTATATTACCCTGGTGGAGCCAGGTGTAACACGAGACGAGTCCCATGTTGCTGGTAGCGGCCGTATTTACTAGGAGTGAGAGGAGGAGGAGGAAGGCGCATGACGGCACAAGACCCGGATGGCGACAGCAGAACTTGCCAAGACCTGAGGGAGGCGACGCAGACGGCCTCTGCCATGTCTGCTCCTCCTCCTCCTCCTCCGTGTCGTCTTGTGCCTTGCATTATGTCCCATGATCGTCTACAAGGCCATGTGCTTCATAACCCATTTGAAGAAACATTTTTCTTTCGACTTGCATAACATTACTGCTTTCATAACCTCTACCGGATGTGAAATTTAGACAGAAATCCATAATCACGTTTGATAAATGAGATCCTAATACATTGACGTCTCGGAGCCACCGCCCCCTTTGACGATAGCCCAGACTCAACCTGAAGTCCACGGTAGTTCCTTAAAAGCTAAAACATGATATCAACGATCAATTAATCTTGTGGACGGAGCGGCCATGCTGACGCGAGTGGCGTGTACAGCATGCATTAACATCGTTGACACTAATGGGCTCAGGCCAGACTTTTTGACTGCATTTCTCTTCTCGAAGGCCTCATGGACACCGTGAGTCTGAAATAGCCCGTGTGATTGTCTCCAAGGTCGAATGTATACTAGGCTTCTGCCAAGTCATTTCCTCCCCACGTAAATATTTACTGTGTAGGCGCTGGAATAAGCAAAACAAACTCTTGATGGAGCGCAGGGGGGGAGGGGGGGGCATGTAGAGACTATAAGGAACTTACTGCAAGGGGGGGCGTGTTGTTATAGTATGCGTCCACGGTCTATACGGCGACGACGGGTTTTCAATATCTTTTTGTCTTGTGGGGGCGCGCGGGTGTCTCTCTTTTAATATCTGGGTGTTGAGTGTTGTGCCTTAGAAGGTGTTTGTATGGTATTTGTTATGATGTGTATTGTTTTCTTGCAGTTTGGTACTTGCGCGTTCCCTTTGCGTGTGCCTGAGGGTTTGCGTGTGCTTGAGGGCTTGTGTGTGCCTGAGGGTTTGCGTGTGCTTGAGGGCTTGCGTGTGCCTGAGGGCTTGCGTGTGTCTGAGACCTTGCGTGTGTCTGAGACCTTGCGTGTGTCTGAGACCTTGCGTGTGTCTGAGACCTTGCGTGTGTCTGAGACCTTGCGTGTGTCTGAGACCTTGCGTTAGTCTGGGTATTTGCTGGGAGAGCGGTGCTAACTGGAACAGGAAGCGCCACACTTGTGGAAGCAGAGAAGTCTGCCACCTTACACACACACTCTACATATATACCAGGATCAACACTGATAATTTTGATGTCAAAAATCTACGCTGAGGTCTGACTAAGACCTCTTGTGTCCCTTGTAATCCATTTTTGCGCCGCCGCTCAAGGGATGAGTATGTTGCACACAGTAAACTAGCCATAGCAATCAGTCAATTAACTAGTGATCATGTGTCCAGTTATCCCCCCAAATAGCGCATTGAAATTTCCAGTACGTATCTTGGGAAAAATAATATATCCCACAAACTCGATAATACTAGTTAGTTTACCATTTTGTAAATGATTGGTCCGAACCCAGCGCCTTGGGAAGACCTCATAACCCTAAGAATTACAGATAGATGGTCCGCGTTCTCACTTTCCTGGTCCGAGTTTGAAGTCAGCGTTTTGTCTGTCCACTGGTCTCAAATTTAATGATTGCTTTGTCCAAGCTGGTCAGAATGTACTACATTTTATTTGAAAATGTAGTACAAATCTTTGAAAATTATTATGCCAAATCTTTCCTTGGAACAAGACGCCCACAGTGAAATAAAAAAAGGACTTCGACTGGCCTTCGTAAGCTAAGGAGGAAAAGCTGTCACCCGAAGTAGTTTAGAGGCGGAGTGGTGTCAGCCAAGAAGGGCAGCTGTCAACCGGAACAGAAATATGCAGCCGGGGCTTACAGGCGACACGTCGCACGGTCAAAAATGGACGTTGGCTGCCACAGGCGACGACGACGGGGCAAAAAGCGCGGTTCTTTGACGGTGGTGGGCGGCGAGTGGGAGTGTTGGGTACGCCCAGGGCCGCGTGGGCACTGTTTTGGCTGCTGGTGAGAGCAGGAGTGAACGAGGAAGTACGCGAAGTGAGAAAAAAAATGGTGATGGAGGGGAAAAAACAGACGACGAACAAATGTAGGAAGTATGGGAGTTGTTGACAATGTGATAATGGGAGGAGACAGAAGAGAGGAGAAGGAGGAGGAGGAGGAGGAGGAGGAGGAGGAGGAGGAGGAGGAGGAGGAGGAAGAGGAGGAGGAGGAGGAGGAGGAGGAAGAGGAAGGTGATTTTAACGACCGGAGGAGAACTAATAATACTTGAAGCCAGCTGTGTCCTACTGGTGACGGGGCAGACACTGTTGTGGAGGCTGCAGGTGACTATACTCTGTCTCGGTCACTGTCTCTTCCTCGGTCACTGTCTCTTCCTCGGTCACTGTCTCTTCCTCGGTCACTGTCTCTTTCTCGGTCACTGTCTCTTCCTCGGTCACTGTCTCTTCCTCGGTCACTGTCTCTTCCTCGGTCACTGTCTCTTCCTCGGCCACTGTCTCTTTCTCGGTCACTGTCTCTTTCTCGGTCACTGTCTCTTTCTCGGTCACTGTCTCTTCCTCGGCCACTGTCTCTTTCTCGGTCACTGTCTCTTTCTCGGTCACTGTCTCTTTCTCGGTCACTGTCTCTTTCTCGGTCACTGTCTCTTCCTCGGCCACTGTCTCTGTCTCGTTTCACTGTCTCTTCTCCAAGATACAGTACCTCCTCTTTAAATTTAAAAGACGAAGTTTATTCTGGCATTGGACGTGTAATTAGGTACAAAAAATAGAGAATTCTTTGCCTAAACATCAACAACAACAACAAGAAACACACAAACATGATATATTAATCTAAAACTTCTCGGTCTTAACACCTCGAGCGATGGCACAATACTTTAACGTGATCAATCAAACTTCGATCAATGTACAAGTACATTGATCAAATCCAGCATTGAAGAAGAGTTTAACACAAAATAGGACCCGGGTCGAGATGACGGCCATTATGATTAGCTCCCACTAGTGGGTATATATATACTCGAGGAGTCGCTTTGTTGAGTGTAGAGGCCGTGTGATATAACGATTGGAGTTAGCGATTGGGCTAGCAGATAACGTGAGAAAGGGATACAGTGGGCGCGGACGATAGGGCTAGTGGCAGCGTGCGCGCCACGACGCCTTTCGAGAGGGGGTAAGTGATTGTGATCTTACGATCTATAGATGGCGTACGATGACGTGCAAAGGTGATTGACAGAGGACCAAACATAAAGTGAAGAGAGTCGATAAACAGATATGGTTTGGTGATCGCTGTAGACAGTTCCACTCGTGGCGTCTTGTTTAGAGTCTGTCTGTCTGTCTGTCTCTCTCTCTCCCTCTCTCTCTCTATCTCTCTCTTTCTCTCTCTCTCTCTCTATCTCTCTCTTTCTCTCTCTCTCTCTCTCTCTCTCTCTCTCTCTCTCTCTCTCTCTCTCTCTCTCTCTCTCTCTCTCTCTCTCTCTCTCTCTCTCTCTCTCTCTCTCTCTCTCTCTCTCTCTCTCTCCTCTCTCTCTCTCTCTCTCTCTCTCTCTCTCTCTCTCTCTCTCTCTCTCTCTCTCTCTCTCTCTCTCTCTCTCTCTCTCTCTCTCTCTCTCTCTCTCTCTCTCTCTCTCTCTCTCTCTCTCTCTCTCTCTCTCTCTCTCTCTCTCTCTCTCTCTCTCTCTCTCTCTCTCTCTCTCTCTCTCTCTCTCTCTCTCTCTCTCTCTCTCTCTCTCTCTCTCTCTGGTTTTTTCTCTCTCTCTCTCTCTCTGTCTCTCTCTCTCTCTCTCTCTCTCTCTCTCTCTCTCTCTCTCTCTCTCTCTCTCTCTCTCTCTCTCTCTCTCTCTCTCTCTCTCTCTCTCTCTCTCTCTCTCTCTCTCTCTCTCTCTCTCTCTTCTCTCTTCTCTCTCTCTCTCTCTCTCTCTCTCTCTCTCTCTCTCTCTCTCTCTCTCTCTCTCTCTCTCTCTCTCTCTCTCTCTCTCTCTCTCTCCTCTCTCTCTCTCTCTCTCTCTCTCTCTCTCTCTCTCTCTCTCTCTCTCTCTCTCTCTCTCTCTCTCTCTCTCTCTCTCTCTCTCTCTCTCTCTCTCTCTCTCTCTCTCTCTCTCTCTCTCTCTCTCTCTCTCTCTCTCTCTCTCTCTCTCTCTCTCTCTCTCTCTCTCTCTCTCTCTCTCTCTCTCTCTCTCTTTCTCTCTCTCTCTCTCTCTCTCTCTCTCTCTCTCTCTCTCTCTCTCTCTCTCTCTCTCTCTCTCTCTCTCTCTCTCTCTCTCTCTCACTCTCTCTCTCTCTCTCTCCCGGCCATAATGATCTTCCAGAGGCTGATAAACAGTATGAAGTGGCAAGTGTCAGTAAACTGGGTCTCACACTCCAACACTGCCAGTCTAATCCGACTGGTAAGAGGCACCTGGAGCTCTGTAACCACCTCCTCTACTCTCCTGTTCTTGACCATATCCTCGGAACAAATCCTGCAGGATGGGGGGGGGGATTTTGTAGAACATATAACGTGATCTTGACATAAATAATGTAATCATTAAAATAGTGCATAGTAATCAAATAAATGTAGATGTGCCCCATTTATGTTTATATTAAGACAGATGAGAGTCTTTGTTTAGCGTCTTCAAGAGCAGGAGTCGACGTCACTGAAGACGGATGGCACTCTTTCAGGGGCGTCGCTTTCGAGGAATTTTGGCAGTGTATTGGTGCCGTGTTCCTGGTGCCTTGTGGTGGAGCCCTGTCCCAGTGGGAGACAGGGCTGGGTGATGGAGTCCCGTCCCAGTGGGAGACAGGGCTGGGTGATGGAGTCCCGTCCCAGTGGGAGACAGGGCTGGGTGATGGAGTCCCGTCCCAGTGGGAGACAGGGCTGGGTGATGGAGTCCCGTCCCAGTGGGAGACAGGGCTGGGTGATGGAGTCCCGTCCCAGTGGGAGACGGGGCTCCCAGGGTCTGAAACATGGGTCCTCTAGCTATAGTCTTCCCCTAAGATATATTATTATTTTTCAGGATTACATGAATACTGTACATAAACTGGAATTGTGCATTATGTTATTTTATGAAGGGAAAATAGCGTGCCTTGAGTGACTCTTGGGGGAGTATTAGTGTGTCGAGGAGAGAGTCCGGCGAGGGCCACATATGTGAGTTATTAGCATGTGTGTGTTGGTGACAACTTATGTACTCGTGTGGGTGTTTGTACTAAATTGTGCTTGTGGGGGGGTTGAGCTTCGGCTCTTTGGTCCCCTCCTCTTAACTTTCGATCAACCCATCATATCTACATACGAATTTGTGTATGGAGTCAGGCTCCACCACATCACTTTCTAATGCATTCTGTTTAGTAAATACTGATACTGAAAATATTCTTTCTAATGTCTCAGTGGCTCATTTGGGTATTTAGTTTCCACCTGTGTCGGCTTGTGCTAGTACCACTCGTGTTAGATAATTTATCCACACTGTCAATATCTTAACCTTGTGATCTTGTCTTTCCTAACTCTTCTGTCTTCCCGCGACATGAGGTGCAATTCCCTTAGCTTTTCCTCGTAACTCATACCTCGTAGTTCTGGAACTAGTCTAGTGGTATATCTTTGAACCTTCTCCAACTTCGTCTTATGCTTGACAAGATATGGACTACATGCTGGGGCCGCATATTCCAGGATTGGTCTGACATATGGGGCATACAAGGTTGTAAATGATTCCTTATACAAATTTCTAAAAACAGTTCTGATGGTAGTTAGCCTCGCAGACGCCACTTATATATATATTTTTTATCGACTTCAGAAGACAGGTTCCGTGTGATATAAAGTCCTTGGTCCTTCTCTCTGTCCGCTTCACGAAGGACTTCGTCTTCTATTTGGTATCTTGTGTGTGTGGACTCCTGCTCCCTTCACTAAACTTCATTACTTTATATTTACTTGAGTTAAACTCTATTAGCCATTTGTTGGACCATTCCTGAAGTTTGTTCAGGTCATTCTTTAGCTTTTTATATCTTCCCCTGTCCTTATCCTGCTCATAATTTTCGCACTATCAGCAAATATTGAGAGAAACGCATCTATTCCCTCTTGGAGATCATTTACATATATCAGAAACAGGATAGGTCGAAGGACTGATCCCTGTGGGACTCCACTAGTGATGTCTTGCCGCTCTGAGACCTCACCCCTCACAGTGACTCGCTGTCTTCTGGTGCTTAGGTACTCCCTTATCCACTGGAGTTCCTTCCCTTAGATTCCTGTCTGCATCTCCAACTTATGCCCTAGTCTCTTAAGGGGTATTGTGTCAAAAGGTTTCCGGCAATCCAAAAATATGCAATCTGGCCACACTCTCTTGCCCGAGTTTAGTCGCCTATTATGTCTGTGAGGAAAGATTTGGCATCCCTGACCCCATGCTGGTGACGTTAGAAAATTCTTTCTCGGTAGATGTTCTACAAGTTTTTCTGAAAGTGTAAGAGTGTTTATGTGTGTGTGTGTGAGAGAGAGAGAGAGAGAGAGAGACGTTACATATGTAGCTACCACACACGTCTGAAAATAAAGGAAGTGACAATGTTTTGGTTCGTTCTGGACCATTATTATATTACGTAAAGACGGAATGTTTTTCTAAAAAAAAATCCCACCTTCCTCGTCGCTATCAGCTTGCTCTTTCCTCCCTGAAAATGGCAATTCTTGGGTTGTCTTTGATCATATGGACTGAAGGATGAGGTTTTGTGTTGTTATGTCAGGGACTCTTAATTATCCTACAGACTGGTCTTCTAAAATACCCTTTCCTGCTTTAACTCTTCACAGACGCTAATTTTGTTGACTCAGCTCTCATATTCAACATAAAGCTTAGTCGTGGCTTTGTTGCTCTTGACTCTTAACGCCTTGCTCAGTACATAGTTAAATGCTCCAACCTTCTTAACAAACGTGATGCGACTTAGCTTTACTCCCTCTAGATTCTCTTTTCTTCCTCTTCTGTTGCTATCACTTCGTACATTTAACCATTAAGCCTTTTGCCGTTGTCCTTATTACGGAAGTGTGGGCTGGGTCGGCCGAGCGGACAGCACGCTGGGCTTGTGATCCTGTGGTCCTGGGTTCGATCCCAGGCGCCGGCGAGAAACAATGGTTTCTTTCTTTCAGAGTTTCTTTCACCCTTTGCCCTTGTTACCTAGCAGTAAAATAGGTACCTGGGTGTTAGTCAGCTGTCACGGGCTGCTTCCTGGGGGTGGAGGCCTGGTCGAGGACCGGGCCGCGGGGACACTAAAAAGCCCCGAAATCATCTCAAGATAACCTCAAGATAACCTGGGTGTCGAATTTTCAACGCTTAAGTAATTTATAGTCACGTTTTCTTTCGTGGTCATACGTTTTCATATATAAAAAATATATAATTTTATCCAGAGAGGCTGTTCTAGAAATTTATGTATTCTCATATACGAGACTGAAAGGTGTAAGAAGAAGAACAAAGGTGAGCCCCAATAAGTGATTTTTCTTGCGCGACTCTTCAAGGACCTTTGTAATTTATCTATGTAGGTCAGATTAACATATTTAAAAGCCCTACAATCACCCTCTGTGGTTGATTGTTCAATAAATCACCGAACTATATGTTTAACCGCTCATTAACCCTGTCCATGGAGGTCAGAAGACAATGTGTGTATATTTGGTGGTTAGCCTTGTAAATGTGTGGCCACGTCTGTGGTAGGAAATAATAATGATAATAAAACTAAGGCGGAATATATTCTCGGGATTGAGAATTCATTACAGAGAC